TGGTAACCGAAAGAGCGACGTGTGGGAATGTGCTCTTGCGTAAATTAGAAAGGCTGTTCAAAGACGCATACACTAGTGATGCTTGGATGGGAGTAACGATGTCTAGAAGATAAGAACCATTCAGACATTCAGTGATGGAATTTGGAAAACAACGTTTGACAAAGACGTGTGGACGGTGACTTGGACAAAATATTAACAATTTCAAATGCATAATTGGATAAAACAGTAACAATGTTACTTTATATGCTGACGTTGATTTGAGCTGGCAAGACAACCCCTTATTTTACTTATGTGTCACATTCCAGAGAAATATAGTATATATCATTTTTTCATTTCAGCCGTTGATTTCAACCGACGTTCCCCTGTTCAATTTATAATATCTCATACGGGTCTTCTAGATAGGATTTAACTCTCCATGTCAATTCTTTTACTACTGGCTTTCTAATTAATAATTATAAGAGTATTTACTGTTTAAAACGCTTTTTTTTTTCACTTTCAAAAAATGATTTTCAAGCAAAAGTTGCTAATATAAAATTTTAAATTAAAATTATTTGATAACATTATTTGTTAAGCGAGTATAAAAAAGTCAAAGATAAAAATAATTTTTAAAATTACAGCAAATGAATTTTTTTATTAAAATGTTAAAAATAAATATAAAATAATAATTATAAACTACCTCTTGTTTTTACTATAATTTATTTGTGTTTTCTTGATAAAAAATATTATTTTTTTTCTTTTCATTCAAGTTTTATTAAAATTTTCATCATTTTTTATAAAAATTTGGTCTCTAATATAAAGTACAAAATCTATGTAATAAAAACAAAAGAATTGATGTAAAATTTTACATCGATTCAATAAACAATTGATGTAGAAAGTACTTACTACATTAGTTATTTTTAGGAATTGATTTAAAATTAATTCAAATTAAAATTTTTTAGATACACACCAATAAAATATCATAAATTAAAGACGAACAAAGACTTTTTTTAAGTTTCTAAAACTTTTGTTAGTTATGAATATGTATGAACAACATAATAAACACGACGAATACGATATACACTCACGTTTATGAATTTTAATTTAATTTAAATGGTGTTTTAAATTTTGAGAAAATATATTGATAATATTGTTGTGAAAGTTAAAATTGTCAAAGAAGAGAAACATTAATGTTGACAAAGATAAACATAACCAAGAAAAATATTTTTTACATTAATTATTATGAACAACCAATATAGAAAATACATTGTTTATATTGGTTATTAATAATCAATATAAATAGTCTTATTCTTTCTATATCGTTTGTATTTATATTTCCAAGAAGATAGGGTAGAGTTTTCCCTTACTTAGATTGAAGACCCACACTCAAATTCAACCACGGAAGTGCTCTTCACACGGATTTCAGCCTAAATACATAGAAGAACTCTATGAAAATCCAAGGAAATCGAGAAATAAAGAAAGAGGATGAAAAACAAAAACTCTAACCATTAAAACTCACCTTCAAGCGTTTCCAACACGATTTCAACCTTCAATCAAGCTCCCAAACGACTTTGGAAGTAATTTAATCGATGGGATAGGGTTTTGGGTCAAGAGAATCGAAAATTTTTTGAAGTGAAGGTGATAAATAACATTTCTCGAACCCTAACCCCCTTTAAATTCTCTCTGGTCACGACACTCTCGCTACAGCGAAATGCTTGTTGCAGCGACTCCCCCTGTCGCTACAACAAAAATCTCAAACGAAATTACACCATGGTTTCTGCAGAATCTCACAACAACGAGACTGTACCTAGAAATGTATCATAAACTGTAACTTACTTTCGCTACAGTGACAAGGCGACAGTTTCACGCCTTCCTCCTAGAGCCCTCTCGCTACAGCGAGAGCACCTGCACCAGGCATTCAGCCTAATTTCCAAATCCAGCCACATACACACGTACACGCATATTCATATATATATATATATATATATATATATATATATATATATATTCATACATATCATCATTCAATCAGTCATCACGCACTCAAGTGCAATTTCAATATTCATTCACATTTACACGTATATATGTACATATATATCAATAATTAATATTACAAAATTCAGGGTGTTACATCTTAGATATAATTTTTCTTTCTTTTATCATTTTAAACATCTTCAAAAAATAGTTTTGAGTTAGAGGAGAATTAATTTCTTAACTTTTTTTTTTAATTTAGAGGAATAGTCACATAATATTTCCTTTTTGGTAAAGCTTCGTTTAAAATAACATGATAGTGTAAATTTTGCAAAAGAATGGCACATGGGAGAAATCTCATTAGCACTTATAGCTTCTTAATTTACTAGCAGCTGATCACTACCACCTCAAACCAGGTTTTAGTTTTAGTGCATCATACATGTAACACACTTTATTTGGATATAATCAATTAACAAAATGCTCCCCTTTGCTAAATTTGCTGCATGATTTAACTGATGTAATTACATGATTAGTTTTTGACCCGCTTCTTCATCCCCTTGTCATTATTATTTGGCTTAAAAGTTGTCAAATCCATCCTTAATTCTGCTAAGTTTAATTTGGAAAGCTTTGCTGGGGTCCGTTCCAAGATCGTGCACATCCCTCTTTCTCCAGGTGTTGATTATATGCCTTATGTGAGCTTCATGCAATTCGACTTCGACAAATGTAAGGGAGATTGGATATTTAAATTCAAAATGAAAGTTGGTATTAAGGTAAAACATATAAAGCTTAGGTGGGTTGGGTTTAGAAGTTCACTGTGAGCATAACATGTTAATTTTAAGGCTCAAAGAATATTTAAAGAGATACTTATAAACTGTCCATTAAAAAAATTCCCACTGAAATTTAACTCCATTTTATGATTAATTAAATATATTTAGTTATAGTCTTCTTATTATAATGCAGATATTCTATTCGCTATATTATGTTTTCAGACAAACAAGTCAACCTGCACCAGCATCATTGGTTCAGGTATATTAACTTTTTAAATAAGATAAGAATCTCTTCTTCCACACTTTCAATTTAAACTTAAATTATCGGAGATTTCCTATTGAATTTGAGCCTAGAAAAGAATTATGTACGGTGGCTATTGTGAGAATTACATTATTGTCCATTAATTCCAAGCAAACATGTGATTAATCTATCGGTTGCATCACCACAACATAGTAAATTACTAAATTATAGAGCCACTTAGAAGTGGTGTCACTTATCTACCATTTTGTTTTGTCGAAAGTGGATATATACACATATTCTCTAGATAAGGACGACGAAGAAAAGTGTTGCCACTCACTGCTGGCCCTATTTACTTGGAGTTGGATATAGATTTGGTGCGTTTGTGCTATCCGACAAGATAAAAATAATGATGAACCTTTATTTTAAAAAATGCTTTTTTAAGGTATGTTGGAAGATATATAACTTAAGAAATTATAAATTTTAATTTAAAAACTTTTATCACTCTTTCGAAATTGATCACACTAGATGGGCAAAATATAGATATAAGAGATCAAGTGTTTTGTAAGTTTGGCATTGAAGTTATACTTTCATCTATAAGCAGCACCCAAGCAGCTCATACATCATACTATTCATTTAATGGTATCTGTAGATTGGGATCATGCGCATCAACTTGTAGCATTGGTGGGATTGTAAGATATTTTTTATTATCTCGAGAAGGAAGACAAAGACGTATCCATGAAGACGATGCTCAACCCAATTGTGTAACAAAGATAGCTGGCGGGGCCTAGCTGTCCAATTATTGTTATATTAATATATTTGATCAATCATAGCTTCATCGCAAAAATCGGAACGAATCACAATTTCAATTCCAATTAAATGCTAAATTATATGAAATTGATGACACACACAGATATAAATTTGTTTTTTGTTACCAAGTCATATGAACCTTTAATTAGAGTAAAATGTACTTAAAATATTTGAATAAAAAATCAAGACAGATATTTTATCAAAGCATGTTTGAAGGCAAATAGCATTTATATAGACAATTGTAAATTATTTACCAATAAAGTTCTCGTATTAATGGTGAAATTTAAATTTGCGTTTCTATGGAATATGAATTCAACCTTATCAACTGTACTAACTTTTTGTTGATGAATTCAAATGAATTAACATAATTTATGAATTAACTTTTATGCTTAAAACTTATTTTAAAAATATTAATATTAATTCAAAGATAATAAATTTATTTGAATCATATTAAAGATAAAATTTATCAATACATATCATATTATTTTTATAAAAATTTATTATACATAAATTATCTTGAAGTCTATATTTATAAATTTTATGTTAAATAACGAAAACAATAAAAATAAAACTATTATGTTTATCAAATTTTTAACGTGGATTCAATAACATGTGATAAAAAATTAATAAATAATATTTTTACTAAAATTATAATATTTAATGTTATTAATACATTAAATATAGTAAAATTATGTATTTCTAATAAAAAATATTATATATAAATTAATTAGTATAAATTATTAGACACAAATTAAAAAAAATATTTTAATTCATTAGAATTTAAATAAAATTTAAATCACTGGAGATTTCATTTATTCACTGTTGAACATTGTTTTCATCATTATTAATATAAGTATTTTTTTAATAAAAATAAAATATTAATAGTTAAATCACTTAAAATATTTTTATTCTTATATAATTAATTTTGCATCTATTAACTTGTGGGAAGGAAAAATAGGGTTGAAAAACCAATAGAAGTGAATAAATATGAAAAGGAGGTTTAACTGAGAACACAAGCGGTGGTGACAACTGAAGCAGAATAGGAAAAGGGATAAGCCAAAGCCAGATACATTCTGAGTCAGCACATGTACAGCAAACGCCCATTGGATAAGTACTTTGCGTGTTCTTAATAAAAAGAAAAAACCAAACACCTCAAAACCACAGTTATGTAAAGTGTGGTGGGCTCCACACTCACCACTCTTTACTTTTATATAAGAACCCTAACCCCAATTTCGTTTCTCGCATTCTATTCCCTATTCCCTATTCCCAAATCGTAACTTCTCTTAACGACATCGTCTCGCAACATGCTTTCCTCCGTCTCCTTTCCGGCTTCTCTTCCCTCCCCAAATCTTACCGGCAGCGCCTTGGCCTCACAGCCACGTCGCGTCAGATCCCGACCAATAGTCGCCTTTGCCACCGCTACAGCCACCGCCGAAGCTCGCTCTTCTTGGACGGAGCAACCGAGGCCTTCGTATCTGAGCTCTTCTTGCTCATCGCTCTACGAGGTTCTAGGCATCCCCGCCGGCGCCTCCAACCAGGAAATCAAGGCGGCGTACCGGCGATTGGCCAGAGTTTGCCACCCGGACGTGGCAGCGATTGACCGTAAAAACTCGTCGGCGGACGAGTTCATGAAGATTCACGCCGCGTACTCCACCCTCTCGGATCCCGACAAGCGCGCCACATACGATCAGAGCCTATTCCGGCGACGACAGCCGTTGTCGGCTTCTATGTTTTCCGGTTACACCAGTCGGAACTGGGAAACGGATCAGTGCTGGTAGTGAGTCAACTCGGTCGAGTGAACAGCTTAATTAGAGTGTACAAGACAGAAGACGCGGTTATTGAAGCGCCTTGCCTTGGATTTAATCTATTAATCACTAATTAGTTAGTCATTAGAGTTTGTATTATACTCCGTATATGTACATATACTCGTAGATGTAGAAGCAGTTTACGGGTAATTCACTGCGAATTACAACTTCGAAATCTGATGAGTTTTCCAGTACACAATATACAGTAAAAAAGAACACAACTTGCTTGTACTTGGTAATTGATACTTGCCACTTGCCACTTGCCACTTGCAGAAACCTTTCTCCTTTCCTTGTAACATACATGATTGAATCAAAATTGACATCTGTTATGGGCAAATGCACAATATGTTCATTTTCTTCTTTCAATTTTTTACTTTTTTCCATTTAATTTAAAATACATGTAAGGTTCACTAATAGGTAATTGTCAATCATCTCAAGAAAGGGAAGGGCGTAATTGAATCGACAAAGTCTCTATTGTTTTGTTTGTGGTGATTGAGATTTGTGATGGTGATTGGTTTAGGTAAGAGTTAACCTGAAGTGTAAACAAAGTTAATTGCCTTTTTTTAAGCAAAAAAATTAAGATATATTAATTGCATTCTAGAAATTTGGAATCTTTGATTCTATAAAAATCAAAAGTCAACTCCGTTTGCCATGTTCATGTGTCGGTCCCCATAACGAAATTCTAGAAGCTCAAGGTTTCTAGAAGATGAGGGTGCCGTGCCGTTTGTGCGATTCCACCGTCGCTTGATTAATCAATCGTTGATTATATTTATTCTTTATTATTCTGTTAACGTTAATTTTTAAAAGATTTAAATTTAAATTTTTAATATTAATATTATTATTTTAAAAATTATTATATTAAAAATATAAAAATTAAAGCATAATATTTTTTATTATCTTTGGATGTTGCAACTCAATTTTTAAAGTTAAAGTAATGAAATTTTTATTATACTCTTTTAATTCTTAATATTATATCAAGTAAGTAATAAATAAAATTGTAGATAAATAAAAAACTAAAGAAATAAATCGAGTAGTTGATTTTTTTACACGTACATATATATAAAAAATAATATAATATTAATTTATAATAATTTAAATAATATAACTATTTTTTTGTATTCCTGAGAATCTATTGTTTTTATTTTTCCTTTTTTATTATTCCAAATTTAAAGTTCTAACGCGCATGCGTGGGACAGCCCAAGAAAAGTATGCTACGTGTTTTGATGATATTCGAGAACAGTTAGTTAGTTAGCCGGTAGATGAGAAATTCATTGAGGGTGTTGTTATTATTAAATAAAATTAAATTTTACTATTATTTTTAAATCAAAATTTATTTTTATTTATACAATAAAATTTAATATTAAATGTGAACATACATTATTATTAAAGTAAAACTTAAATTTTAATGAAATAAACATAATAAAAATATACAATATTGTACTTAAATTTTGTTTATTTAATTTGTTTAAAATATGAAATTAAATAATTTAATAATTAATTAAAATTATTATATAATCACAAATTATCATATTATTATAATTATTTTTTGTGATAATCACTTTAAAAAATATATTTATGATAATTTATAACTGAATGATAGTGTAAAAAATTAATCTTAACAATGTGTTAAATTAAATTTTTAATATTATTAAATATAAAATTTTAAAAATTTAAGTACAATAATTAAATATTTCTGGTGTTACTTATCAGTCAAATATAAATTATATCTCAATAATTTACGATAATATTAAATGTAAATATTTTAGTAACATAAAACTATTTTAATTCATAATGAACACTAACAACATCTTATTCTTTTTCCTAATATTAATGTGTTATATTTTATGATATTTATAATTTTCAATAAAAATTATTATATACTAATTCTTATAACATGCATTAGATACAAATTAAAAAGTTTTATTATAATATAAAAAATTGTATCACTAATTAATATATTAAATATATTAATTAAAAATATTTTTTTTTAAATGACCATAAATACATATATACTTTTTATTTTTTAAAAAATTAATCAATGTTCTAAATATATTAATCGCTATTTTTGTTTACAAATTAAACTAAATATATTAATTAATAAAATTTTATACTATTGTTTAATTTTGGATTATAGTATTGATTATATTTATTGATTTTATGCTAATTAATTTAAAAATTATATTTATTATGTACGTTAATCGGTTGAAAGTGTAAAATTATTTATATTAATACTGTACTAGAATTAACTCCATTTAACTATACAAAATTCATAATTTTAATAAAATGTAATTATTTTTTACACTGTTGTTCAATTCTAAATTATCATATTAATGGAAGTCATTAATTTTTTTACAATAATTAATTTTAAAAGTATATTTACAATATATTTTAATTATCAAAAATACAATTTTTCATATTAATAATATACAAAATTAAACTCTAAATTTATTATACAAAAGTTATAATTTAATTTGATATTATCATATTCAAAATATTTACTTAAAAATATAAGAAAAATATAAATTTGAAAGTGAAATAAAGTAAGATGTACATAATTTTTGTAATTCTCACAAAGTTTTAGCTAACAAGAAGTATATTAAAAAAAGAAGTTAAAAAAGCATATTGTTAAGATTATTGGCTTAAATATTAAGGGATTAGAATTTAGCAGAGTTGTAACCAAATTTGAAATCTCAGACAGCGATGCACCGTCACTGGGCATGGCCCATCAAAGACAATATGCCTGGGAGTACTACCATTCTACATTTTCGTGAAAGACAAAATAACATATACTTTTAGAGTGATATTACTCAAATTTTTTAATCAAAATTGTAATTTTATTTTAATAAAAAAATTATTTATTTAAAGAGTACCTGAATTTTACTAAAAAATTAAAATAAAAAATATACCTGAATTATATTTTATTTTATTGAAAAAAACATGGTAAAGAAAAAAGGCATAAAGTTATAAAAAGGAATAAAAAGTATTCTCCTCCTCGTGGAGGTGACTTTTCAAAGGTTCTTTAAGAAAATAAAATTTATGATTGTCTTGCTCTCCTTCCAGAAACAAGTTGTGTATTGGGGCCCTTATGCAGCGAAAAACGAAGAGACTTGACACTCTTCCAAAATCCAAAGTCTTACCGATAAAAGATTCAAATGGACACAATCACAGATGAGAGAGAGTATGAACTTCTAGATATATGGAGGAGGCTACTACAAATTCTTGAATTTGATCCTCTCAAAATTGAAAAGTGTGCATTGCTATGGCACAACATACTTCTACACCCTTCCTAATTCACCTTCATCACTTTCTAGAACATATCATTGACTGGTTGACACTTGACAGGACCACCACTCCATTCATTTTTCTTTTCTTATCCATAAACCAAACCTTGTGCAAGGGTCCAACACCACAATTTGAAACCTGTGGCTGTTTTTTTTTTTTCATTTTTGTAAAGCATTTTACGCACCATTATAGTAATATTTTTTGGATGTTTTAAGCCGTTACTGTTGATTCACAGAAGATAGATAGATCAAATCTATTATATAATTACAACGTTGTTTTTATAATATGCTTTTGCACCGTAATTAAATGGCATGAAAATTTTTCGTCATTGGGTTTTGGGTCCAATTGTTTAGAGGAGCAAAAAATTTGTTAACTGCTGGCCCAGTTTATAAAGTTTTGGGTCCTTTTGAGGGTGGGACTTTAGGTGGATAAAAAAGGGTAGCATCATACTTTGCCCTCCTCAATTGCCGTAGTCCATTGTCATATTCATCAACCCAATTGTCTGAAAGTTAACAATTTTGCCACTTTTAGAGATAAAACTTAAGTTTAGTATTCAACTGTTATTTAATTAATATTAAAATTTTATTTGAATAATTCACATTATAAAAATTAATATTAAACTTAGTGTATATTTTTAAAATAAAATTTTAATTTTAATTATAAAAATACCTATAAAATTGCATCTAATGTTTTTTTTTATAACCCTCTTCTCTGTGGAGCTGGTTATACGCAAGCTTTAGAGGTTTCTGGAAATAAGATATATGAGAAGAAATCAACGCTGCATTCTCAGTCCTACAATAATATTACAATCTAATTAAATCTTTATTTCCGTTCTTAACTTTTTAACAAAGTTTTTTGTTCTAAATGGACATGTAAGTGCCACGTGAGAGCTAGCTATTATTGGCGAAGACGACATTAAAAAAATGACGAAATTCAACGAATTTAATAACATTTTAAATATTGAAATAAAAAATTAAATTAAACCTTGCTAAATACGTTAGATACGAAATAGAATTATATGTTTCTACAACCATCTTTGGTGTACAAGCATATTTGTTGCTTAAATTTTTGTAATGCGTGTCACTTATGTGTATATAAAAAGTTTATTTGAAAAATATATAAAAATAATATTTACTTGTTTAATGATAACATGTAATAAAAAACCAATTTTGTTAATTAAAATATTAAAAAATATTTACATTATTTTATTTCTTCTTTATTTTTTTAAGTACATGTAAAAAATAATATACCTTAAAATAAAATGTACTGCACGTTAACGGATAAAAAGGTATGGCTTAAGGAAAAGGAAGAATCGTGTTTCGTGAGTCGTGTCTTGAAAAGTAAGCGAAAGTGAAGGGGCGATTATTTATTGGATTCATCGCTTAAATTATTAAACATTAATACTGTATACAATATTATATGCTTTTTTAGTCTTTTTATAAGATATTTTTTGAAATATTTTAGCAACTTTTGTTACAACATATATTATGATTTTTGTGAAATGATTACTAATTTTTGTGTGTTTTTGATAAATAAATTTGGTGATGAATTTAAATTAAAATTAATATGGATAAGTGTTGATATTAGAGTTAGAGTTAAATTCATTAACAATAAAATTAAAATTGTCATGTTATAATATTTTTATTAATTAAAACTTTATTTTTATTAATTTATACAATTTAGTAAAAAATGTTTTATAAAAAAAATCACAAAACAACATTCTTAAAACACAGTCTAAAAACACTAAAAAATGTCTCTTCAATATATACAAATATCATGTTCCTTATTCATCACAAGATCTTGCCAAGAATTTAATTATTAAATAATTAATAAATAATTTTATTAAAAAAGTGTATTACACTATTACTGTAAATTAAAATTTATGAGAGTGAATCTTTTTTTTTTTATCAAAAAATTATACTTTTAATTCTTCAATCAAAACACGTGTTAATTTCCATTTTTATACAGTAAGCTGAGCATTTTTTTTTCTGAAACAGAGAAAAGGGGATTAAGCACTAGTTTTGAGCCAAACTTTTCAAAGCAAAATCTTTTTGCGTGATCGTTCCTACTCTGTCCTAGTTATTAGGATTTGTGAAGAAAAGGAAATAATTAACACTTAACAGAACTTATTTTGACTCCAAATTAAACACCCATTTTATACAATTTGGGTAAACACAGTTGTTGATGAGAGAAAGGACTCTCCCACCTACCCTGGTTTAGTTATTTAATTTTCTTCCTCTTTGTTCGGCAAAGATATCCTCTCACATGAAACGCCACATTTTGAGAGTCTTAAAAACTACATAAAAAG